GGATTGTATAGACTGTGCTGTGAATAAAGTTCCTAGACTAACCACGATGGCAAGGTAGAGACGAAATGGACGCCCACATGTCGCATATGTCTGACATGTAAATGCCAAGTGTCGGACAATTGCGTTACATCTCACTCTTTCACGTCATGGACATGGGCAAGGAAGGGCTGCTGTGGAATACAATTAAAGGAAGCGCCAACGAAACATTGAATGAAACGAATTGAGGAAGCCCTGCAGTAAACAAATGTTTCCGGACATAACCCTAAATCAAGGGCGATGAAAAGCCCTCGATGCGGTGAAATGCTTAGGATATAACTTGGTGCATGGGTATCTGGCACACACGCTGGCACACGGGTTGATTCACAGTTTGCAATCGTGGAGTTTAAATCACCAGAACATTGTGAAGTTCCACGTGGTTAACCGCAGTTTCGATGAGTCGAGTCCAAGTCCTTTGTGACCAACTCAGTCATGCTTGACAAGTGAGGAGGAAGGACGCAAGGAGTTCAGCAGTGAACCACGCGGCCTCTGCTCAACGCCAAGAGTCGCCAACTAAGTCGATTGAGTCGAAAAGAGTTGAAATGAGTCGAATTGACCCAGGAAGAGACGTTCATGCTGCTTGAGTGAACAATATGTGTCCATGACCTTGTTGAAGCGACAATCTTAGTCGAATCAAGTCGCCAATGTCCAATACATACCTGTGTTAGGAAATTGAATCGCAGGTGTGGTGCAAGATACGGTTTAAGTCAACGTTTCGCTCGTCCATTGCCTACATGTACATTCCCGGCACTCCCCTGCCTAAGGCACTGATTGGGTCAGTTACCCATGGGTTACCCATCTTCAACCCCCTTCGGTAACCCCCTTGTAAGTTCCTACCCAGCAGGAGGGGTGACACGGCCCCAGGGTAAACCCCTCCGTTGCCCTGGACTATGGACCGGTGTATTTTTTTCCGTAATATATTACGGTTCCGTAATAAAATGGCATATTTGCGTTCTGCGCTCCGTCATAGACCATGGTAAAGGCCTGGTACGGTCGTTACGGAGCCGGGGCGGGCCGAAGGCCCCCAGAGACGTTCTATTTTAGTATAAATAAGTTATAAATGAGCGATGGGGCCCAAGAAATTAACTACTATAGCTGGTCAGGGTAGCGTCAAAGCATTCCTGACCACCGGCAGGCCAAAACCTAGTAGCGGCGATGCTGGTAACACTTCAAACAATATAGTGAGTACAAGAGAGACATTAGAACCAGATGACAGGGCGCCTCCCGCACGGCGCCACGCTTCAGCCAGTCAATTCCACCAACAGCCAGTTGCAGGCCAGGAAGCAGCTCAGGCGCACCAGGCTAGACGCCCGGAGCCGGTTGTATCACCATCGAAACGACGTAAGCTCAATGAGCCATCGGCTGGCTCTGCTGGGGCAGGTCCATCAGGCACACTGCCAGCGATGCGGCCAGCAACGCGGCTCCCGCAGCCGAGCCCGCGCACGTCTCCAAGCACATCTCAGCAATCTGTTGAGATCGTTGCAAGCCCTCTGCAGTTTGTCACGTCAACTTTATGTGCTAGTCGGCTCAAGTCGCTCTACCCCAAGTGTAACAAATTGACATCCCAACTTGGATCGGAGTCCATTCAAACGATTTTCGAGAATGGAAAATTTGAGAACCAGCTGGTTCGGCCCTAAACTTTGTAAGGTCCATCAGGCAGTACAATGGCGATCGACCTCGACTCGTAAACATGAAACGCACGTACACAAGCAATAGGATATACAACTGAAATATTTTCCCGTTCCAATAAATACACACATTAAGAGGAAGCTTAGCGTGCAATGAGTACTAATGTCAATATATGCGGAACTAAACGATTGGTTGCGAATGTATTGACGTTCGATGAGTACCAAATTATTAATTTCGTTGCATAACCAGCTTCAACTTCATTGGGCATAATCATTGTGTGTTTCTTCGAACGGAAAAATATTTCAGTGGTTTATCCTATTGCTTGTGTACATGCGTTTGGTGCTTGCGAAGACTACCGTTTGGACCTACCGTAATATACTACCGATGTACGAAGATGTAATTTTCGCGGTAGCCGGCCCTCACCCGGCCTACCTACCGATTGAAGACGGCTGTTTACTGCTTGCAGGTACCCTTAGTGTGTAACGAACGATGATTTCTCATGAAAACCGTTTGGACCTACCGTAATATACTACCGATGTACGAAGGTGAGGGCCGAACAAAACTTCCATTCTTGGAAATCGTTGGTAGTAAATTTGTCAGTGGGCAGCGGAAGTGCATCCACCTTAGCGGAACATACTCATATTTGGTCACCCCACCGCGGCCCAAGGCGGAAGGTGTGCACTAGCGCATGTTACGACGTTCCTGCCGGATTGCGCAAAGAGCAATTGTGTCTCAGTCCGAGCGTGCTCGTCCATTTTTCATCCAACATCTAGTAGGTTCTCGCCCACCTTTTAGCTAGCCGCCCATCGACGCATGCTTGCAACTCCATACGGTGATGGACCCATTACTGTATGGGGATTCTATCTTCCAAATCATGGCAGTGCAAAAATACTTTTCATTACTTTTTTAAGAAATTTGCTTAATTGTATCTTCTTCCCTTCTTAATTAATCAGGCCATACATTGTTAAACAGTCATGTTTATTAAACCACTTAGCCATACCGCACGCCCACGAATTTTACACACATACGCAAAAAACCCGCGCGCCGTGCTTTTAAAGGCTGCCCTTTAGCCGTGGTCTTTGCATTTTGGATGTTTACGAACGGTTCGCTCGTCCTTGCATCACGTTTCTGCGAGCAGCCTGTAACGATCACATCTCTTAA